TAAATAAATGGTCAGAGAAGAAGGTCACAAAGCCTTCTTGTGACTGACACTGGATTTAAACCCTGGTCCACCTGATTCAAAACTCAAGTTCCAACTCTCCACTCACACCGTGGAGCTTCTGGGCAGCACTGGCAACGGAAAGAGTCATTATGACACAGCAAGAATTTACACTAAACTCTTACTTTAGAATAAATGGATTTCAGTCTGGGGAGGGTGTCTGGAGGGAAATGAGATATAAAAGGATAAAATTAACCATAGGAAAATACATTCTGCGGGTCAGCAGAGAAAATTAGGTATTGAGGAGGAGCAATATTTTAAAAATGGCCCTTTCCATATAAAGAAACTAATACTGAAGGTGCTCAACAATGCTGCTCTCCTAAGTCTACATGTAAAGAAACAGGCTTTTGATGGGAAAAATACAAAAGAGCATCTGCATTCTTTCCTTGGGAGAAAAAAGTATCTGATTTGAGAAAACCTCTCTGAAAGGGCAATGTTATGAGAGGAAGGTCTTTGAGCAAGTTTAATGCCTCTATTTAAATGCTAATGATAACCTATAGCACTGGACTATACAAAAACTAAAGTTTTTCAAAGACCATAAAGTTAATTTAAAATGAAACCTTAATTTAGGAAAAGACATTTTATTTCTGAAGAGCAAGAGAACACACGTAATTTTATAAGAGCAATGGTGTTGGATGCACGCTGGCGGCAAGGCAGGTGGGTTATTGGTGGGCGCTGGCCAGCGCCCCCCAGCAGGGGCTAGTTCTGCCAGGAACAGGAGTGCCTCTCAGTGTGTGTGCCTTTGGAGCTCAAATTTGCCACCAGCTACACCTGATGGAGGTGGATGCTTCCTGACCTGTTTCCTGAAGGACCTGTGCTGAGATGGAGCTGGTGTTTGGAAGGAAGCTGGGGACACAAGCCAGGAGGAAGCACCAGAGCCGTGGGGTCAGCTGGATCAGAGTAACCGGAAGGATGGTAGTGTTCAGAGAGAAGCTGTTTGCTTTATGCCGCTTTATTTCCTCTGGGAACCAATAGTAGGATGCAGGTAGTTGAAGCCTGGAGTGTTAGGAAAAGATTTGCTCCAAATCAGACTTAAGGCAGCCGAGCCTTGGGAGACCACGTACTGTGGGCATACAGAAAACAAACTCAGAGAAAGAAACTCAAACAAAATCAGGAAATACCTGTGTGTGTGTGTGTGGGGGGTGTGTCGATGACTTGGAAGGTGGCAAAGATAGGCTTCTGGGGTGATTTAATGTTCTATATTTTTATCTGGGTTATGGTCAGGAGGCTGTATTCCCTTTGTAAAAAGCGTGAGATCCATGCAGTTTGCTGTGTGCATCCTATATTTTAATAGAAACACATTACCTTCCTTCCCATCCCACCCCTGCAAGAAAAGGAAAAGAAAAAGGGCAGGTAGTGGGCCAGGTGCTGGGGCGGATATCTCAGTCTGCATTTTAGATAAAAGCTAATTTTAGGAACCTTGAAAATATGCTAGCTGAAAGAAGCTAGCCACAAATGGCCGCATATTCCATTTATGTGAGATATCTACAAGAGGCAAATTCAAAGACAGAAAGTAGATGAGTGGTTTCCAGGATGGGGCTCAGGGTGGGTGGGCTGGTTGGGAACACTGCTAATGCATGCAGGGTTCTTTTTTTTGCGGGGGGGGGGGGAGTTTGATAAAAATGTTCTAAAATTAGCTGGCCATGATGGCTGTATAATTTTGTGACTTTACTCAAAACCAACAAATTGCACACTTTAAAAGGGTTAATGGTTATGCCATGTAAATTATACCTCAATAAAGCTGTTATAAAAATGCAAATTTTATGAACTAGAACCCTGGCTTCCTAACTATACAGAAGACATTTATCCACAGCCAATACTGTTGTGAAGATTGATCCATTAATCAGGACATTGGCTGCAGCTCAATGTTCTCCTGTGATAACCGTAGAAAAGATTCTGTAAGCTAATGGATAATGGAAACATTTTTACCAGCTCACATTTTCACTAAGTGCCCCTGAAATGTACTAAAGTCATTTCTTGGGCGCCACACTTTGTAGGTTAAGTGTCCTTCAGCATCTCTGCACTAAATGCCTTTGAACACACTCTGTCCCTATATCCTATTCTCAAGACAAATTTATGACAAGTAATGAATAACCTTTATGAGAAAAATAGCTTAGAACTGGGAACAAGTCTTTGTGTATAATTACACAGTGATAGAAATATAATTGAGCCGAGATTTGGTGATGATTGCATTAATGTTTATTATTAAGAAGGACGATCATTAGGGGGAACAATGGAAATGTAACACTTATTACATACCAGGCCCTTTAAAGGTACCCTGATTTAGTCCTTATGACCTGAGGCTCCAAAGGCTAAATACCTGCCTAAGGCCACCTGGCTGGTTAACAGCAACACCAGAATTGAATTCTTTTATTTTTTTCTTTCAGGAATGAATTTTGACTACATGGCAAACACTCCCCCAGATGGTTCCAGGAAAACTGCTGAGTTGGGCTATGAGAAAATTTACAACCAAGAAAAGCTTGGGGAGACACCCACTGAGATCATATTTGTGAAAGCCCTACGGAAACTGTAAAGTGCTAGGCAAATACAAGTAGCTGGCAAGAACACACTAATGGGTATTGGATGGGGACAGTAGACGCTGAGCTGCAGATGACTGCGCAGTGTGCATGTCGCACCAACCTGAGCCAAGTTAAAGGGAAAGATGAGTCGCCTAGCAGTTGTTTGCTCTTTTATAGAGCTGACCTTCAGATCTCTATTCATGGTAATGAATCACTCTTCACAGTCAAGTTGGGGCTGCTCTAGACAGGCAGGTGTAGGCCGGGATGGCCTGCAATCTTAGTGGATATAGTTTAAAGAAAATATAAACTGATCCCTAGTAAGAAAAGTAGAAATTATTCAAAAGCCAGCAATAATAGCCTAGACATTCGAACCTAGTTCTCCACAAACACTGCAGGGGGTGGCAGGCAGTACACAGCAGAGGGATTATTCTGTTTTCTTCACACTTGCTACATTCAGAATTAGAGCCTCATAGTACCCTGTGCTTTCAAGAATCTAATGAATTCCACAGGTGCTTCACATATGCTCTGGTGGGGGCGGCAGTGAGCAGGATGTGCCTCGTTGTCTCCCTGTGGCCCAGAGAAAATGCTGCTCTCATGACCTGTGTTATCAGTGGATAAAACAAAATGGGAGGAAGGTGGTGACAAGGACTCCCCTGGCCAAACTTTGAGCCCTCCTCTCCACTAGGAGAGCCCTCTTCTCACCAGCAGCAGGGAGGATTAGCGGAGGTTATCCTTAGGTCAGAAGTAAGTGAAGATTCAACCCACTCTGCATGGATTCCCACAGCGATCTAGTCCTTAGTGCATGCTCCATCACTGATCAGGCCACTTCTGCTAACCAAGGTTATACTAAACACCCTGCTTCAAATCGGCGCTACTGTGCTGGTGTTGCAGAGGCTGTGTTAGGGAGTGAGGAAAAAACTGGAAGAAATAAGTCTGTCCACTTCTACAGGGAGATTGCTCTGGCCGGCCTCCTGCCTCCTCTCTCCATGCTTCTCAACAAATACTCCCAGTTCACAGCGAGAGGACCGAACGCACCTGGGAACACAGCACTCCTAAATATGCCTATTATAGTTTAAAACCTAAGAAATTCAAAGTCTGTGGTGATGCTGGGAGATGTCACATGCTCCTTAAGGCCAGGAAGGAACTGCTGTCTGGAGGTCCCTCAATGTCCTACACTAGGTAGCTGGTGGGACACATTTATACCTCTCTTGAGAATCTGTTTTACTGACAAATGTTTCTGATGTTTCAAACATTTTAAATTTGGTGGTGGAACAAACATCGGTTTGTGACCCAAATGTTTTTACAAATGTTTGCTCAGGCTTGGGGTTGTAAATATTTACAAACCATTTGGGCAGGAAAATTGCAGTGGTGTGCTTCAGTGAGAGGTGAGTAAGGGGAAAACATTCCCGTACGAATGCAGCCAGGGTGTCATTAAGAATTTGCCTATCTGTTCCTTTATATTCCGTGTGACAGTGCACTCAGGATATGACATCTCTGGTGCATCTGTTCCGGTCCTGGCCCCATCACTAGCTAACCAGTGGTCATGACTGTGATACTCAATCCCAGTGCATCTTAGTTTCCATATCTGGAAAAATCATTAGATTAGGCTAGAATAGATGACATCTAAAAACCATCCCAATCCATGAGGGAGACTGGAGTCAGGGGAAGGGATAGCATTATTAATATTATTTCCATTTTCCAGGAAATGAAATTTAGGCTTGGAAAGATTACGCCCCAGGTCACACAGCTAATCAATGGCAGGGCTTTGGCTTAAATCTCTGTCTCCTGAGCCTAAAGCTGGAACCTTTCCTTCATACCACACTGGCTCTCGACAATTTATCTGGCTCCCTGGCTTCCTCGGGGCCTCTGTACTAATTGACAGCGTGCCCAGTCATAGATGGCTCCCATTTGTTACGTGGCCTCTTACTTTCCTTTTTTCCTAGCATGCATTGTGTCACTCAATCCGCACTGACAAAAAAAATGCTTTTGAAAAGAGCATTGAGCACACTGGGAAACGCAGTTGATGCAGCTTCATTTCAGGGCATATTCAATTGAAAGTAATGGAGGCTTTATTGTAATAAAAAGCTTTATTGTGCTTTGTAATGAAGGCACAAAGCACTTAGTTGAAACCATATTCTTTTAAACTAATCTGCTTTATAGTCTATGGCAGAGATGCAAATATAAGAAAATTCGAAATGATTTCTACAAAATGATTTACTTAAAGTAGCTGTATGGGAGCCTCAGTTTTGCCCAGGCACTCTCCCGGGCAGGGCTTTCTTATCTGTTCTCTTCGTCTGCCCTGTTTACAGGAGACCCTCCCTGATATCTCTCGGTGTTTACTCTACTTGTGAGGATGAACAGACTTGCTCCCAATACGGTGTACGGTATCGGGGTGTCTGAATTCTGTTCTACATGCTCACATAGGCACCACGAGCTCAGTGGGAGAAGAGAAGGAGGATTTTGAAGCCTTTCGATGAAGACTGTAACTGTTGTCGGACTGCACAGAGATACAAAGTAATTACAAAGCTCTTCAAAGAATGAAATAAGTCCATTAAATCTAGTTAAATAATTTTTCAGAAACATCACAAGAAACACTTCTTGCGGTTCCGTTCTCTCACAATGAACTAAAGGAAGAATATCTCATTTTCCAAATGGAACTTTATGGAGTTTTCAATAAGCCCCCTCAGCACTTATCTAAATCTTTAATTAGTTCTATAATATACTGATGATATCAAGCCTAATTAAATTTATATAGATAAGGCGCAATGAAATTCTAACCAAGTGATCTGGAAAGCATATATTAAATAATAAATTTAATGGTTCAAGCTGATAAGCACAATTTTATATCAAAAAATTAAATTCAATTTACATGTTGTATTCAAATTGATTTTGAGTGTGCAAATTATTGGAAAAATCTCTTAAATATATCAGTAAAGTTGCTAATACAGCCTGTTTAAATATCAGTTATTAATGTCTGCATCTGCAAATAAGCCACACACATTTGCATTTTTACTGCATATAGTAGAAAGTTATCTAAACCTTATGCTATTTTATTAAGAATACTAAATGATTTTTCTTTTGGCTTCATGCATAAATTAAGAAGGCAAAAAATGACTATTGGGTCTAAAGAAGAGAGAGTCAGCAATTCAATATATAGCAAGGCAGAGATGACATATATATTTTGCTGACTAAAACAGTTTATGTTATCCTTTGAGAACAGCAATTACTGCGGTAAAATTCTCTCTTATTTAGGATCAACTGGAACGGAACTATCCACAAATATCTGATATGATAATCATAGAGAGAGGTGGACTGAGGCAAATGTGGTGGTGTTACCATCAGTTGGGGCAGGGGAGGAAAAGGCATGTTTATCAGAGGGTAAAGGTGCACACCAGCTGACCACATTTACAGGTCAGCCAAGCTACCTTAGACACTCACCTAAATAGTCAAAGAGAAGGCCCAATGACTCATACGATATAAATTGTTCAATAGCAGTAGCATTCTCGGTTTCCATAGGGGATTACCCTTTAGAAGCATTCGCCTTAGCATGCTTGTATTTTTGTTGACATATACAAATACTGAAGATATTATAAATAGTACTAATTAAGCTTCACTACAGATTGGTAAAAATTTGTGCACTGATTACTCTGCCATTAACATTATCTTCTTTCCTCAAGATATGTCTTTGGTTGGAAAACTTCTTTGAAATGATCAAATATTTATTAAATATCTATTATATGTCATGTGCTTGACCAATTGGGCTACAAGTAATATGCCAATGACTTCAGAAAAAGAAAAATGAGGGTCAAACAGGGTAGTCAATCATTCCAGAGAAGGGTGTGTCTTGGAGGGGGGTAAGTTGAAGAATGAGTCAGCAGAGCAACAGGAACAAAGGCATGGAGTTTGGACTGTAAATCACGCCTAGGAGGGCTGTGCGATCAGCTAGAACTGATGATTTGCAAGAAGAAGCTGGCCAGTTAAGAATGAACAGGTATGGGCGGCGTGTGTGGCTCAAAGGAGTAGGGGCACTGGCCCCATATACCAGAGTTGACAGGTTCAAACCTAGCCCGGGCCAAAAAAAAAAAGAACGAACAGGTATTAGGTGAATTTTTATTCAAGTCTGCAAAGTTTGGGCCAGATAGAGTATTTATTAAGAAGTCAGTGGTTCTCAACCTTCTAAATGCCTCCTAATGCTGCAACCTTTAATATAGTTCCTCACGTTCTAGTGAGGAAATTATTTTCATTGCTACTTCATAACTGTAATTTTGCTACCGTTATGAATCATAATGTAAATATCTGATATGCAGGATGTATTTTTATTGTCACCTGTCGTAACCCACAGGTTGAGAACCTCTGGTCTAACCACATCAGAAAGGGTGGCAGAAGGGAAAGAGATTCTAAGACGTGATCATCAGCTGAGGGACCGCTGCTTTTTTCTGGGGGTGAGCAGGAATAGTAAAACAAACATAGAACTGAGAACCATTTAGAGAAAGAGAGTCAAAACTCTCTGTGTTTAACAGGGTATGAGAGATTGATACGAAAGAATAAGCCATAGAGAAGTGATAGCAATTTTTGTAATGTGAAATCTAAGTTTAACGGATAGGGAGTGGACTAAGGTTCCAGACTTGGCAGATCTTCAGCCTGCTTTGGACAAAGAACAAAAACTAAAGTGAATGAACCTGTTAGTCTGTTATTAACATAGAAAAACTTGGAGGAAGAGTCGCTACAGGATAATGAAACAGGATCAAGAGTAAGCGACTGTCCAAGACTTCCCTCTGAAGTCTTCATCATGCACTCCAAGTTAGGATTACATGGCTTATCCTCTAAACATCACACACATATACGTGCGCATGTATATAAAATACAGAGACACATCTTTTCTATGTGAACAGACACCACCATTTCTAATGAGTGTACATCTATCTGTCCACCCACCCACCTAATATTAAGGCCCCATGTAGCACTCTTCCACCTACTTCTATTTCTGATTAAGGAAGATCTCCATTCAGACCAGAAAGGAACAGGAGTGTGGAGCAATGTAAAGGTAGGTGGGCCTTTCCATGTTCCAGTAATGAAAATGAAGGTGGAAACCTGAGGATCTCCTGAAGTAAGAACACAGATTATGCAGTTTGTGGTGTGGACACACATATGCCTGTCTCTACCCATGCAGTTAGAACACTCTGAGACTGCTGGGTAAGCATATTCATTTGTCTTGGTTCTCAATATCCTTCCCTAGAAACAGTCAAACCCTACAAAGATCTTGTTTTAAACTCACAGCCCAGGGATTGTCCAGGAGCCCCTCGCTATTGTCGATGGCAGGGGACACAAATCAGGAGCAGCCTGCTGGAGGCCTGCTCTGGTTAGTCTAGTCCTCCCATCTGGAAAGACCGGCATGGAGGACAGCAAAGGGACGGAAGGCAAGAAACGAGGGGAGAACTAAAATGAAGGTGAGAATGAGTTAGAAGGGAGAGAGATTAGAAAAGAGATGAGCAGATCATAAGGAAGTAATAGAGAACAGAATCATGTGTTACAAGTGATTTCTCAAAAGGATTAATTTATCCATATAATTCAGCTCAGCATTCTGAGACAATTTAAAGTATATCTAAGACCAAACAGAGAAACCCACAGTTCCTGAATATCTGACTACATGCAGTGGGTCCCGACAAATAGAAATGTAAATATAGATGCCTCGTGTATCGACACAGTACCTAGCGAAAATATTTTTATTCTGTAATGTCTAACATATCTTGGAAGGAATGAAAGCTTAAATCTTTGTATGTGTTTCCTGGATTTCCAGGGGATGGGTCTCAGGCTGCTACATCTCTCATGTGAAAGTTCAGCCATGCCTGCCTGCCTGGTGCACATGAGCTCAGACAGCCCCCCTCTGCCAGATATGCTGCCGCTTATACAATGATACTCCAGCTCCTTAGTCCGCACTTCCCACCCTGACCCAGACACTGCCCCACTGTGGGTCCACAGCAGGCCAGGGAGGCTGGATTGCCCTGGATGGTGACCATGGAAAGGCAGGAAGCTGGAAGATGAGTTACCTATTTTAGTTCCTTGTTATCCACAGTTCCAGGGACTTTGAAAAGAACTCCCTAGGTTCAGAAAGAATCAGAGGAAACCTGAGTTGGTGAGTAGTTGTAAGATGCTGAAGATTATTATCTCATATAACTAAAATACTGGAAAGAAAAAAAATGTGCTTTTTCAAGAATTCCCGGGCTATCAGTGGGAAATAAAAACTCACTGTAAAAAGCCACAGTGTATCTTTACTTTATTGTGGCCTTTTCCTCAATAAACTGTTTGAACCTAGAGGAACTGCTCTAAGGGCACACAGAGAAGAAACTAGAAAGATGGTGCCTCCACTTGGGACCAAGAACACCCCCGAGGGAGGACAGAGATAAACTACTTATAAACCATGCCTAAAATGCTCATGGCGAAGTTTATAAAGGCACGAATGCCAAAGCTGCAGAAACAGCCTTCCTGTCTCGTGGCCTTGGGAGGCTGTGAAGAATGGGAAGCCCAGTGCCTGGCTCCCTATTGATGTATGCTGAAACTAATGGAGATGATAACTTCTTTTCCCCTCTCCACGAGGGAAAAATGCCAGAGAAATTCAATTATTATTGAGTTATAATCCTATCACATGTTTCAATCATTATCTCATGCTTTTTGATCATCTGATTTCTTTTTATAATTCAAAGTGTTTCTGCGAAGAAATAAAGTTACCCTGGTCTCCTTCTGTGAGGAAAGCAGTCCCCTGAAATCCCCTTCAGTGGGGCTCTGTAGGACCCAGCTCAGGGCAGCGTGGGGGCAGCGTGGGAGCAGCCTGCAGTCTTTGATTGAGAAAACTTGGTCAAAACCACTGATATCTTCTCCCTTTGGTCTTCATCCTTGCTACCTTTCATCTCTCCTCTTGTTCCTACATTCCCATTTCAAATGAGAATTAAATTCCTTTGCCTTGCCCCCTAATTTGACATGCTTTCCAATAATGTTGATTTACTGTTAGAAAAACAAAAACTGGAAAATCAAACACTAATGGAAAGAGTAAGAACCAACAATTACTGATTGTACTGGATCCTTGTATCTGTGCTTGGTATTTCTTTTTTTTATTATTATTATTAAATCATACCCGTGTACATTAATGCAATCATGGGGTACAGTGTGGTGTTTTCATACACATTTTGAAATACTCTCATCAAACTGGTCAACGTAGCCTTCATGCCATTTTCTCTTATTGAGTTAAGACAGTCATACTCTGCAATGCTTGGTATTTCTATGTGCAGTTTCATTTAGTCCTTACAACTACCCTACAGTTACTGTAAACAAATAATCTCCATTCTACAGATAAGAAAACTAAAGTATTAAGAGGGTAAGAAACTACTAGGGGTTACGTAGCTACTAGCAAGTGGCAAGGTTGGTAATCAAACCCTGGTTTGCATTCTGTTTCCACGTTACCAAGTGGTAAGACAAGGAAACT